ATCTTTATTATTCCATTCTGTGACCTGTATCTTTATTATTCCATTCTGTGACCTGTATCTATATTATTCCATTCTGTGACCTGTATCTTTATTATTCTATTCTGTGACATATATCTATATTATTTAATTGTGTGAGCTGTATCTACACCATTCCATTATCTAACATGTATCTATACTAGTCCATTCTGTAACATGCATCTATACTATTCCATTCTGTAACATGTATCTATACTATTCCATTCTGTAACATGCATCTATACTATTCCATTCTGTAACATGCATCTTTACTATCCCATTCTGTAACATGTATCTATACTATCCCATTCTGTTACATATAGCTATACTATTCCATGCTATAACATATAGCTATATTCCATGCTATAACATGTATCTATACTATTCCATTCTGTAGCATGTATCTTTACTATTCTATTCTGTAACATGTAACTATAGTTTCCCATTCTGTAACTTGTAATTTCCCTATTCCATGCTGTAACATGTAACTATACTATCCCATTCTGTAACTTGTATCTACACTATTCCATGCTGTAACCTGTATCTATACTATTCCATTCTGTAACATGTATTTATACTATCCATGCTGTAACATGTATCTATACTATTCCATTCTGTAACATGTATCTATACTATTCCATTCTGTAACATGCATCTATATTACTCTATTCCAATTGGCCACGTCTGCCCGTTTGACTCTAGACCCGAAACATTCTCCGATGTGAAGGCAATCTACCGTAACTGAACAACTACGTCATCAACGGTGACAGGATATTCGCCTGGTTTCATCTCTCTCTCCGTTCCCGGGCATCAGTTCTCGCCAGGTAATAACAGCCTTACTCTCTTTCCGTGACGTGGGCAGGGAATGCGCGGCGGTGCCGCTGGCGCCAGTGCAGAATCCTCTAGATCTGGTACCACGACGTCACTTTCTGTATTGATTGGCACTTGTACTGTTGGACAGATGCTGAAGACCTTGCCAACAGGGTTAGTGATGTAGCTAACGGGGGCAGCAGAAACGCGAGGCTCCAGGCACTTTGACAACGCCCCTTCTCCCCCCTCCCTATCAGAACACGTGTAAGAGGGATAAATGGCACCCCTAACTATGTACAGACAGACGCTCTCTTGTTGAATATATGATTGTACTTGACACATGACTACAACTACATTATTGGGGGCTGTCCTGGTGTAGCGGATAGACGCTCCTCTGAGGATCCGAAGGTCGTGGGTTCATGTCCCGACGGAACAGGACTTGTTTCCTTTCAAACATGACCTTGGCTCCCAGGTCGACCCAGTCTTAAATAAGCACCAGGTAACGTCAAGGGAAGTAAAGGCGACCGACATGATGTTGACCATATCACCTACCAAGTAGTCTATAAAATACAGGACTAGCCCTAGGTGCCAACAACGCTCCAATGTGTGATTACAAGTTTCTTTACAACTGTATGATTATTTTTTGGCAGTCAGCATATTTGCCATCTAAACGTTCTCTAATATATTGTCACTGTGTGTGTGCGTGTGTGTGGGAGAGAGAGAGAGAGAGAGAGAGAGAGAGAGAGAGAGAGAGAGAGAGAGAGAGAGAGAGACCGCTACAGTGATCACAAATACATTCTATTACCGTTAAATCTAGTTCATGTTTGACAGCAGTGATGACGTCACACCCGTGGCCTGGTAACCGAGGCCGTGGCACGGCAACCCTGCAGGCTACCCGGCATGTTGTCCTCACCAGGTAATCAAGAGAAAGAGGACGGTCTGCCACTGCTATCCCGCCCGCCCCGGTACAAACACTTTGCCCTCACAAGCAAACCATCCATGAAAAACCAAAAGGACCGGGGAGGTGGGGAAGGGGGGGGGGGGGGATTAGTGAGTTTAGGGCCTGTAACTAAGGTACCTACAAATTCGAACATAATCCGTTCCCAGACGGCGTTGGAATTTTTAAGCAATTTTCGTCACTGAAAATAATGGAAACTAAAGTAATGTGTTCCGGGGTCGGTGTATTAGCATTTCAAATTTTAAAAAAGTAATGGCCCAAAAACAGTACACTGTAACAATAGTTTAAATACGCGATGATTAGACTGATATTAGAACACTTTAGTTTTCAAAAGGACATAAAAACGGTACTAACTGAAGCTAACTGGATCCAAATGGTGACACAGGAGACAGAAGTACGAGCAGGAAGGCGTCTTTAGGAAGGTTGTTGTTTGAAAAGTGACCTGCCTTCCCTAACTGCATCAGGAGGAGTCCTTTCTGGTGTTTGATATCGTAGTCGTTCACCACTTCAGGGGTGTTAGGGTCCAAAGTGCTCTGGTGTTGTTGGCTACCATTTCTAATTATTCTCAAATGTTCCATAATGTTATCATTGCATAAGTTGACACAATTGTTAACTGGGGTTTCTGGCAAGGTGCCACCTCTTGCACTGCCGACCCCGTCGTTAAGGGATCTTGGGTTTCAGCAGCGAAAGTAATCCTTCCAGCTTCCCGCGTTTCCTCCCTGCTCTTTCTCCCCGGTAGAAAACCTTCCAGCTTCCCGCTCTTCCTTCCCGGTAGAGAGCCTCACAATGTCCCCAGAGAGCCTCACAATGTCCCCAGAGAGCCTCACAATGTCCACAGAGAGCCTCACAATGTCTCCAGAGAACCACACAATGTCCCCATAGAGCCTCACAATGTCCCCAGAGAGCCTCACAATGTCCCCAGAGAGCCTAAAAATGTCCCCAGAGCCACACAATGTCCCTAGTGAGTCACACAATGTCCTCAGAGAGCCTAAATATGTCCCCAGAGCCTCACAATGTCCCCAGAGAGCCACACAATGTCCCCAGAGAGTTACACAATGTCCCCAGAGAGCCTAAAAATGTCCCCAGCGAGCCTAAAAATGTCCCCAGAGCCACACAATGTCCCTAGAGAGCCACACAATGTCCCTAGAGAGCCTCAGTCTCCAGTAGGCAATGGATTAAGGACTACTGGTACTTTTGTTGTCGTTTATATAGCAACTCTTCCTCAGCATTTGGCAAACAAACGCACACTAACCACCAACCATGCCACTCAGAGGTCGCCGTTGACCTCATCCTACAATCATACACGCGTGTTGAGAGATTTGGGAGAGAGGGAGGTGAGAAAGTGAGACAAACACGGACACAGATACCGGGGAAGCCAGACATGAAGAGAGGCAGACCGGCTACTTGGTATGGAACCATTACATGCTAACTCCCAGCAATGTTTCTGGTATGGAGATCTGCAACAAGGCAGGTCCACGGAAGGTTTCCATTCTGTTTTTGTTTTCCTATCTCTAGGGTTTAGAAGAGTATCGACGATGCCGCCCGAGACCACAGCCTAGTCTGCTGGTGACCACCCAGCCAGTCTGACCAGTACTAAAAACAATGGTGGACACTGTGAGAATTGACACAGTAAATAAACGCTGCCCACATCATACTGATGGCAACACCAATCAAAGGCCGACTATGTGGGACAGCACACATCATACTGATGGCAACACCAATCAAAGGCCGACTATGTGGGACAGCACACATCATACTGATGGTAACACCAAGCAAAGGTCGACTATGTGGGACAGCACACATCATACTGATGGTAACACCAAGCAAAGGTCGACTATGTGGGACAGCACACATCATACTGATGGCAACACCCATCAAAGGTCGACTATGTGGGACATCCCACATCATACTGATGGCAACACCCATCAAAGGCCGACTATTTGGGACAGCACACATCATACTGATGGCAACACCCATCAAAGGCCAACTATGTGGGACAGCACACATACTGATGGTAACACCAATCAAAGGCAAACTATGTGGGACAGCACACATCATACTGATGGTAACCCCAAGCAAAGGCCGACTATGTGGGACAGCACACATCATAATGATGGTAACACCCATCAAAGACCGTCTATGTGGGACAGCCCAAACTGGGCCGTTACTTCTTCAAACCCACATCAATGACCAGAACGTGTAACCTTACTGTAGTAGTGTAGACAATCCAGCCAGTAACCAGTTGACGAACACTACAGAAGATAACCAAAAGATGTGGCAAACTATAATAGTACCGTTGATCAAACAACAAAATTTATGTTTGTACCCTAGATCACGAGGAAAAAAGAATGAATGTATAAATAGATTAGAAGGAAAACTATAAATGTAGTGTGGATCAACAGAAAGGAGAAAACCAATTGTATTGTGGATCAACAGAAACAGTATGAGTGTACTGTGGATCAATAGAAGGGTGACTGTACTGTGGATCAAGGGAAAAGTGATTGTACTGTGGATACAGGGAAACACTAGGATATTACAGTGGATCAAGGGCCAACGAACTAACACTGACAACTACATGTGGAAGCAAACCTACTGCTTACATACAGTGTCATGTTCACTGGAGCCTGAAACAGACTGGTCTTCTCAAAGGTCACATCTGTTTAGACTCAGGTATGTCAGAGAGCTGAGGCGAACAGACAGGGTAACAACCCACCTGGGACACAAGCCTAGTGTAACAAATGGGTGTGGAATAGGAACCCGGCATCATTTACCTGGGACCAAACAGTTTAAAAAAGATAGTCGTAGGTCTGAAATGTAGAGGACTACTGAATGTAGACAGACACATGAAACAATGGACAGTGCTCATACAGTCAACATACAATGCACACCTTAAAGACACCATCATGTGAAGTGCCTGAAGATACAGACAGACAGAGCGCCTAAAGACACAGACAAGTGGTTAGCCTGAAGACACAGACAGGCGGAGAGCCTAAAGACACAGACATGTGGTTAGCCTGAAGACACAGACATGTGGTTAGCCTGAAGACGCAGACATGTGGTTAGCCTGAAGACACGGAAAAGCTGACAGCCTGGGAAGCTTGAAGACGAAAAGACTGACGACACAGCACAGCATGAAAGCACATAGCTGGGCAGTCTGAAACCACATATTTCATAACCTTATGACCGTCAACACAGTGCCACAGTAACAAGGACTCACCTGTCTGCACAAATCTCCGTTTCATCTGTCGTTTACGTTTCTGCAACATCCGATGACTAATCTCTTCCCGGGTTCGGCCGGACTTCACCCCGTTCTGGTTAGGAGCTGTGAAGTGGCCGTTGACATGTCTCTCTAGGGCCGCCTGTGAATGGAAACGTTGGCCGCAGTTGTCCAGTATGCACTTAAACGGTCGATGGCCGCTGTGGCTGACCACATGGCGCTCCAGCCAGGAGCCCGACCAGGAGGGCTTGTTGAAAACCTTGCAGTCCGCCCACAGGCAGGCATAGGTTTTCTTCTCAATCTGTGTCTCCACGTGTTTTCGGATGTGTTCCAGGAGATCACTGGTGTCCAGGTGACAGGAACAGCCGCGCCATCTGCAGGGAACGGTAGGCGGGGTGACCGGCGAGGCGGGCTCCGTCACCAGCGAGGATAAAGACGGTAATGAAGAGGATGTGACGAGTGATTTTGATTTACATAACATGGATGCCGAAGCCTGTGGCGAGGGCGGCTGAGATAATGACTTCTGTGCGCTATTGCTCGACGGATGCCTTTGGCGAAGGCTAAGGACGGTAGCATTTGGGGAAGCTGATATGCATTTGGATGAGGATGCAACAGCAGAACTGGAGCCGAGATCGTCCTTTTCATCACTGTCACTGCTGCTATTGTGATTGCTGCTGCCTATATTGGAGGAGATTGATCCCTGAGTTGGTTGGTGAAGCTGCTGCTGCTGCTGCGAAGCTGGAGCAACAGATAATGACACTGATGAAGCTGATAACAGTGATAAAGGTGGTTGAGGTCGTTTGGCACTGTTGGGGTCTTCAACCACTGCGTGAGATTTGCTGCCTACTGAAAGGATGGAAGCTGAAGTTGAATGCGTCAAGGAATCTGTGTTCCCCTGACTATGGCAGTTACCTATAGGCCTGCCGTTATGACAGGCTGCAGTTACTGACTGTGTTGGTGGAGATGGCGATTGTGACTGAGATGATGATATAGATGTAACAATAACAGCGGGATGGTGGTGTCCCATGCACTTAGTACACGCTGTCCTCATGTTCAAGCCCAGACAACAATGTGGTCGGGTGCCATTCTGATAGCCATTTGGGGCCTTGACGCCGTTGGTTCCAAACTCGTGCTTGAGGCCATTCTGACCAAGAACAATTGCTACGTCAGAGCAGAGCTTATCCTTGATGGCTGTAGTATGTGCCACCAACCCGTTTATGGACCCCATTGATGGCGACCTTTGAGTACGCCTTCGAGTCACCGCTGTGGCCGTGTCACCTGCTTCGCTCAAGGCGGCATCCAGGGACCTTTTCCTGGACACGAAAGTCTTGAGGCATTCTTGGCTGCTGGTAACGCTGCTCTCCCCGGGCGAGGACGGGAAACAATGTAGGGTAGCGGGTCGAGGAGAGCTAGCGGACATTTCCTCACACTCGCACGGTTCCTCCACATCGTGCTTCTCTGTGCAGAGCACACCCATCCTGCTCAACCGCGAACAGATGCCTGTTGTGTCACTGCCGGAGTTGCTTTCGAGCAAACTACAGGTTTCCTTCAGCGAGCCAGTGGTGCAACTGTTGTCGCAATGAGTCAGGTGATTGTTGTTGTTGTTTCCGCTGCTGCTGTCGTTGCTGCCTTTAAGAGTTGGGAAATGGTTAAGGTGACTGGTGCTGTGTGAACTGGTAGATTCTACCCATCTAGTGTCCCGACGTGTCCTTATATCGGAACAGACATACTCCGACCTGGAGAAGAGACATGAGGATATAGCCATTAATATGTGCAATGGAGGTGAGAGTACATATACTAAATCCCAGTATAAAATGAGGTGATTAGATAGGCCGCTGATTATAGGACATAATGCTGACGACAACACGTAACGACCAGCACGTCACCCGAGTTAACTACGTGAGAGCAGAGGTTAGAGCATACAAGCCCGGCATGCTTGAACAGACACGCCACAAGTTCCCATCCGCTGATTATAGGACATATTGCTGACGACAGCACGTAACGACCAGCACGTCACCCGATACCCCCCTGAAGTGGTAGTTTGGCGCCGTTTCGTATCTTCACAGCAGAAGCGATTGGATGTAACCTTTAACAGCTAACACTGAACTGGCAACCAGACAGCCTGACGTCACATAGGCAGTGATATGTCAGATATATTTTATTGACAATGTCATGGGTTGTTAAATAATCAAATAATAAGTATCCTATCGAATATCAAACAAACACATACATAAGTAAGCGGGAAGAACAGGAACAAAAAGACAGACACACACACACTCATGATGTAGTATACAAAGTAGACTGTCGTGACCGTCAAACTAGCCACCTGGTTGTCATTGATGGTGTATCCACTCTAATAGCTCTTAGATGACCACCTGGCACATTCCCAACACTGAAAACGTGATTAACCAAAGGCTAAGTGCAGCCCGCGTCCCTCAGTGTTGTACTCAATCACCAAGCGGTTCATCACCTTCCGCCCTTTAGCCCTAAAGGGGCATAGACCCTCCACCAACTCCGGCCAAGTCATCTGATCTTTTGTTATCGCATGCACCGGCTTTTCTGGCTTCATTCTCTAGCTTTCTTCTCTGTGTGTTTTGGGGTTTGCCTTAATTCACCGGCCCCCAGAGAAACTCGTCGGTTCTAGTGCGTGGACATTTTAGTTATAGGCTAATGAGTGTCCTTTCCAACGCTAGCATCTTGTCGTCCATCACAGCCTGATTAAAAAAAAACTTGATCTTTCCCAAATCTCGACATCAGCGATTTTAGCATACCATTTAATTTTGTCTAGTCTGCGCAAGCACCAGTTAATGAATGAAAGTAGGTAAGTAAGATTTAATCATTCTCCGTGTTTCAGCTCCAGACACAGTAGTAAGATTAGAGCTTTATGTTATGTTCAGCAAAAGTTTTTATTTTCTTTTACTTCCCCAAAATTTCTAACTATCTAAGAACTCTTCCCTTTTGTGTTCGTATTTAAATATCTCTAGCAGTTGCCCGTCCTTACACGCTGCGGCTGGGTGGGGTCTGTGGTCAGGAGAAGAATTTTTACCGGAACCTCACTTCGATAGATGCACAGTCCTTCTCAGGACCAGCAATACTTTATCGTTGATACACCGGCTGAAAAGGTTAGCCAATCAACAGTCGCCCAGAGAATTCACATGACCCCAATGAATGAAGTGTCTTTACCGTCTGTACAAGTTACGTACCCTTTCTTACACCTTCAGTCGTATTGGGCTTCTAGGACCAACCCTGCAATTTTTATAGGTGAATGGTTACAGCTATGATTTTCCATCTTCAATTTTTTTTTTCTGGAATACAGCGAAGTCAAGTCTTTCTTTGTCCCTCCCTATTTCCTCTTCTCTGAACAAAAACAAACACACATTGGTCAGGTAATTCGCTGATCCGGCAATTACAGAGAAACCAGGGAACTGATTAACAACATCCTAACAGAAAGCATGAGCCTTCAATGCATCATGAGTGACTGACAATGTTATCATGGCAACGATAACACCATTTTTTAGCAACACGTATAACACAGCTTGCTGATCACCATCCATGGCACACACCTGGCTATCAAATACATCGGTGGAACCACAACACAGAACAGATTTTACAATACATCAGTGAAACCACGACACAGAAGAGATTTTACAATACATCAGTGAAACCACGACACAGAACAGACTCTCTACAATACATCGGTGGAACTACGACACAGAACAAATTCCTACAATACATCGGTGGAACCACGACACAGAACAAATTCTACAATACATCGGTGGAACTACGACACAGAACGGTTACAACCACGACACAAACAGATTCGGATACATCTACAACACAGAACAGATTTCTAGAATACATCGGTTGAACCACGACACAGAACGGATTCTACAATACATCGGTTGAACCACGACACAAAACAGATCCTACAATATCATCGGTGGAAACACGACACAAAACAGATCCTTACAACACATCGGTGGAACCACGACACAGAACAGATCCCTACAATATATCGGTAGAACCAAGACACAGAACGGATTCTACAATACATCGGTTGAACCACTACACAAAACAGATCCCTACAATGCATCGGTGGAACCATGACACAGAACAGATCCCTACAATACATCGGTGGAACCATGACACAGAACAGATCCCTACAATACATCGGTGGAACCACGACACAGAACAGATGCCTACAATACATCGGTGGAACCACGACACAAAACAGATCCCTACAAACATCAATAGAACCACGACACAGGCCCTACAATATACCAGTGTTCCAGATTCTGACCAGACCCTACAATTATTCGCTGAAACCACAACACTGATCAAACTTCAAGAAATATCAACCTGGTGCACGAGATCCCACTAAGATATCTAGGTGTATTTACTTACCGGACCACCAACTCTGCGGCAACACTGACCGTACTCCAAAGAATACAGTCCAATTATATGACCGTGTCAACAGTCAAAGAAGCACTAGCAGTCGCCACTGACGGGCGCTGACATACTGTGCCAGACCAGACTTATCCGTCCTTTTTATCAGCGCGTGTTTTACCACGGGGCGGCAACCAATGTCTTGACGTCTGGCGAGAAGAAGTCGCGAGGCGAGCAGCAGAGCAGCCATGTTATCGGAATTTGCATGCGACACCTAAACCAGATATTACGTGTGCAGGTCGCGGCCCAGGTGAAAATAGAAACGGCTAACGTTAACACCACCCCCCCCCCCCCTCAGGACTGCCCTGATTATGGACAGATAGCATGGGGGGGGGGGGGGGGGAAGAGGAAGGATGTCAAGTGTGACCCAGATCTACGTTTCAACCGGTGCAGAAGCTCTAGGCATCAGATACTACAGCCAGTCGGTATTCCAGCTCTCCACTTCCGGTGTGTCTAGTCGGCACAAAGGACTATGGCACCCAAAAAACTATATCAGTTTCTTTACTGGAGACATTTATCTATTTAACCAACTTAGACAAGGAAGCAGGCAGGCTGAAAATACCTAGTTATATTTTAACACACGAGAGTGGGGGAATTCCTGTAATGTGAGGTCATAAAGAAAGTCAAACACAAGGAAGTTGGCAGGAAACAGAACAATGAATGATGTGACGAGGAAGTTGAACCTCATAATTACGGGGACAGAGATGGATTACCTAGAACTGGAGAGGGGAGGGGGAGTTCCGACATGAACGGCTGAGAAGACTGACAAGGTCAGCGGTACTGAAACCATGGCAACGAAGAGACATTATTTACTGTTTGACCTTCCATACTCTCCCTAACAGAACAAAGAATAATGATGACTGATTGTCTATTAACACACAACCCCCCCCCCCCCCCTCTTCTCTCTCCCCTTAATTAGAAAGAATAAAGATGCGCAAAATACCATTATTTAAAATAAATATGCACAGGAATATTGCGAAACAATACAGCGACACGGATAATTGAAAACGAGACGAGACAAAGCCAGATAAAAGCCTACAGTCCCCGTTGTAAAAAGCCTCAGGACAAAACAAAGCGACAATGTTAACAGAGGATATTTACAAACAGAACAGCATCTTTAACACGCAAGAAACTGTCAGTGGTGCTGAAATTAAAAATTAAAGAGATGGAAACAACGACGGAAGGTAAGAGGGGAGGTCTAAATCACAGGCCGAGCCGTCTGTCAGCCAAGGCACCATGCATGTCTGTCTCTGTATGCACGCCCATGCGTATGTACGTGTGTGTGTGTGTGTGTGTGTTAGAGAGAGAGAGAGAGAGAGAGAGAGAGAGAGAGAGAGAGAGAGAGACAGGTGAGAACGTACTCGGCTTCTCTAGAACGATGTCACACAAGCAACATATAAGTCACATGTGTAAGTTCATGCCAGTAGAGGCTCACCGACTTGCAGTGTGAAACCCCCACGGGACTGGCGGGTAGACAAGCAAGCGAGACAGAGGTCGTTGACACAACCATGATTCTTTCCGACCGCAGCCTACATTTGAACGCTGGGCTTTCATGGCAGACGCCACCGTGAGATACTATCTCACCCTCTGTAAACCTTAAAGGCACCCCCCACCTCCCCCACCAGATATCTAGGAGCAAACATGTCGTAGAGTACATAACAGACTGATCATTTTTATATTGAAAAACCTGAGTGTGGCTACCAGGTGAACACAACCTACAAGTGGAACCAAGTAAAAGGTCACTAGGAAGTAGGGGCGGCCCGGTTTGATGTTGATCGCATCAGACGTCTGATGGCGACTGGTCTGTTGCACAGCATGTAAGATGCTCCCATTGTCGCTTAAGTCTCCTAGACTGTTACTGACAAGATGGACTAACTTCTATTCAACTGTTCTGTTCCCTCCTGGATAAATGCACTCAACACACCAATGCTATCATATCAATATCCACCGCACCGTCCCCCAGGGCCATAAGAGCAGCAAGATCCTCTTCTTCTTTGCATCCTCTTTTACCGCTTCGGGTGTTGAGGGAGATGTAAGGTCCTGCTTGGTGCTCTTCTGGCTGCTTCAACCATAGATACATCGTGGTGCTGTTGAGTTTCTCTGATGTTATCTTCCCATCTTGTTCTTGGTCTACCTCTTGCTCTACGTCCCTCTCCTCTTTTGGTATATGCCTTGTATGGTATAGCATCAGAAGGCATTCTCGCCAAGTGGGCAAAACCATTTGATCCGCTGTCTGTGTATGTATGTAATTTAGAATCGAATTGATCTTGTATGACCCCATTGCTGACTG